GTAAAGAAGGTAAGAAGTAGGGAAAGCTCAAAGAATACTCAATGATGCGCAGAGAAGGGAGGGGATGATGCTCAAACGAAAGAGGAAAACAAGGTTGAGAATCCAGGCGCGCGAGAACAGGCGGCAGGAGGTCAAACAGTGAACGATAATGGAGCCGAGCTGACAACGACGACTACGAGAGAGAGACACAAACTCAAGAGCGGCGCGTCACAAGAAGGCGCTCGGAGATCACTCAAGGCGGTTATTTTTTTAGTTATCGCCATTTCGATCATACGTTTATCAACCTAAAACACAGTTTATGTTCATGAATGTTATAATACTTTGTTTTTACATTGATTATTTTTCTTTTTCATCATAAATTGGTGGACAAAATGTTATTTATTATCCCTCTAATTAACAAATTATCATTTTGAATGATATTTTGAATATTTTAATGAAGAATTAGACATATAATGTTTCACAAAATCATGTCATTTTAACATCAGATAATATAACTTCTAGTGGATAAGTTGGATGGTTTTTCAATAAGTTGCGATGGGAATTCTAATTCCCAAGTTATCAATATTGTGAATGAAACAAATTAGTTTAAACTTAACTAAGGTAGTTTTGTTAGTGCTGTGTTTAATTAATCAGTTTTGATCTACCATAATACTAACTCAAATATTTATTTATAAATTTTTAATATAACTCCAAAAGGGAATTGGAAAAATATAACAAACTAATAATATTATAGCCAACCACTCCCCAGCCGATTAGTCTAAATGAATTCTTAATATATATTTTTAGTTTGCATATCTAAATTGCACCTTTACTATTATGACTTATTTAGGATCAATATAACAAACTAATCTTTAGGTGAAATGACATATTTGACTAGTATTAATCGTGATTCTTATTTAAAGACAATATTATTAGACGATGTATTTTACATTTATTCTCCATAACAGATTACAATTTATTATATAAATTTGAATATTTCTCATGGTATCCAAGCATAATGCAATATGACGAGCTTTCAGCCCTACGTTTATCAGAATTCTAATTACTCTTTTTATGCCAATATTTATACATGTAAAGATGAAGGAATATTATATTATCAATTAGGAAACAGTTATTAAGGTGAATAAATATCGTTTATTCTACCTCAACATATATAGCTTAAAGATTACATACATTTTGAATCTTAAATTGAAGGACTTTTAATAGTTTCATAACATAAAAATCAAATTGCGATAATGTGCTTTACCAATTAGCTTAGCATTATTATCAGATTAAATTATATGGTTAATGAAAGGAATTTTTCCCTATCTACTCTCGCATTCAACCGATTATTATATTATTCTCCTCCATTAGTGCCTAACAATTCATTTTAATTTAAGGATGCAATTATCTCGAGTGATTTAGTGTTTGTAAATTATTTGAATGAGAATAATTATTCTGCTATTAATATTCTTTACAATATTTCTGGTTTAGATTTAATAGGAGGATATTTAGAATATCCAATTTTACCTTCTGCGAATATATCAAATTTTTTTGCTTATTACTAAAATATCTTAACATTTAATAGTTCCTATGGATTCATATATACTAAGTTATAGAATTATCTCATTAGTAGCCTAAAAGTTGAAATCCATCTTTAAAATTAATAAACTTAATGCAAATTAACTGCTTTTAATTTAGTGAATAATGTGACTGCTAATTATACTTTTAATTTTGACTAATAAATAGTTTTTGGATTTGAATATGCTTTTTTAGCATTTTTTATAATATTTTTCATATCAGCATTAACTTTTTTATGGTTTAAGACGAAAAATCAGAAAGAATAATTTGGGTTAGAAGAATTTGAAGAACTAGGGATAGATACATATTAATGATAATTTATTTTATTAAAAGTATAATTTCAAATCATCTTTAATCAATATATTTTATTTTAGAATTCAGTAATTTAAAGGAATATATGATTAAAATATAAAACAATTAAATAAATCTTTATAATTCCTATTTCAAAGACAATTAATTTAAATTTATGAAAGAATATTTCTAATTCTCATTTTAGGATGTGTTAATTTTAAATAGAATATTTATTTTCAAGTAGAGAGCTCTTCTCTAAAATGGTCTAAATTTTAGAATAATTTAAACCATAAGGAAGGAATAGTTTAAAAACGTCATTTAGAATGATATAAATTAGTAATTTTACCGTAATTATTAATTAGATATTTATACACCTTAGTAGCTATTTATTTTGTATTAGCTTTTAATCAAATTTAATACTATGTGCACTAAGAATTATTTTATTTTATCAATTTACTCTATTAAATTAAAGCAGTTGATTAAAATTTAAGAACTCTGAACAATCTATGGTTACACTGTTTTATAACATATTGATATTATATTATTAAATATTGTATTTGAATTCATCTTGATTAATAATAAAAATTTTAGAAGATGTCCAAAAATCAAAAAAAACAACATAGGAATTATTTGTTTGCAAATTTAAAAAGTCGAAATGCAAAAATCATTGATAGTAATAAGCATATAAACGAATTTACTTAAGCAAATAAACAAATTATAAAATAATAAAATTGTTAAAAACACTGAAAGTTCTTAGGGATAACTTAAAGGGAATAAAAATTTAAAGATTCCAAAGAGGTAGTCGATCTCTCATTTATAACTAAATGTGTCAATTCCATCATCATATCAAATATTCTACATAAAAAAAGCAATCTTAATTTATAAGAGAATGAATTATATCATCCATATATATAAATCATCCATCATAATCAATTTTAAGTTGAGATTTATAGTTCGAATTCATAAATAAGCAAAAATTAATCTCTATTAATATTTAGAACAGGATTTTGAATAATTCACTACAATACATTTAAGACGATTTTATCATTTAGAAGATTTTTACTTATTCATTTATCTCTTTTTTGAAATTCTCCATTTTTACAATTTAATGCAATTCTTTCCCCTTTATTATTATATCAGATTTCATTTTTAAACGGAGAATTTATTTTGTATTAATATATATTTTAGAAAATGTTAAAAACAGGAAAACTATTTAGCAAATTTATTTTAATAACATTGAAAACAAAATCAAAGTGGAATATATAAAGCTATAAAAGATTATAAAGAAATCATATTAAAAATGATATCTTGATGAAGTTTGAATTCTTTATAGCTTATAAAATTTACCAAAGTGTAACTTCTTAAACATGTCATTTAGAGTGTTCCCTTAAATTTTTATTATAGAAATTGATCAAACCTTTCTAATTACTTCTTCTTATTTTTTTGAGACACATATATTTTTCATAAAGATAAAAGTACTGGATTTTTTGTATATACATTATATTATAATAACATAATATATATGCAGTAATAGTAATAATTACCCACCTAAGCTCTATAAATATCATTTTTATTGCATAATCCATTAGTAGAGTTCAACTCTCAACAATAACTAAATTCTTCTAAACCTATCACTTCTATTCAAAATTATAATAAAATCTATATATTTTTAATCATTAGGAATTCTTTTGCTATAACTAAAAGAATCCTTGAAATTATTCTCGACTTAGAATTGCTTTTAAGTAAAAAAAAAATTCTAATTTGTTGTTAATTTTCAGATTCAGAGCACAAATAATGGCTTTATGTGTAATAGAAATATGAAAGGTTTATGATTTGGAGTTCCAAAACATCTTAATGTATGGTAGAGTGCATTATAAAAGTTAATAAGAATTATATAATTAGAATCAATAGGAATCACAGTTATAATTGAATTATTACAATTGGTGTATCCAAATTTTTAGGTATTTAAGCTAATTGAAAATACAAATGAGTACATTAATTAAATAACAAATGAAAGCTTTTCTTTTAGTATGCCTCATTGCCACATCTTTGATGGTTAATGCAGTTGAAACTCCATAAGAGAAAACATTCAGCGTAGAATCAGATTCCCCCAGCTTCCTCCACGTCAAATAAGTATGCCCTAGTTGTTGCTATGGTGTATGCTGCCAAAACTAAAGTAGCTGTGTTAAAGGAACGTGTAATTCACCAGTTGCCCCTTGGAATTGTATCTGAGAATGATCGATTATATATTCAAGTCATAATTAAGACAATCATTATATCATTAAAATCTCATTTTTTCGAAATACAATGGCTGTAAACTTTGCCATGGATTGAATTTTAAAATAAAACCTTTTGTGCATTACTTCATATTGTGTTGAATTGAATATTTTTTGATTTTCGATCTACAAAACAATTATTCTCCTTTCTTGTCTTAAAATTGACAATTAATATGAAGGGCTAGATTATTTTTGCAAGAATATGCATATAGACTCGACCAAATATTAAATGAAAACAGAAAGGGATTAGTATATTTTTAAAAAAAAAGCAGAGAAGCAGAAATTCATTATTTCAGATATAGCATTAATAATTGATGAAGGTCGGTATTCCGAATTATAACACAATAAGTAACCATAAACATGAAATAGAGCACTCTATTAAATAAAAATTAAAATATCAAATTCTTTGAAAATAAATGCATTTTAAAAATTTTTTAATAATATAATACTATCTTCTTAAATTTTAATGAAGTTATCTAAATGAGCATTAGAATGAAATATAAATTATGATTTTATAACTTCCATTATAAGGAAATTTCGATAAATAAGGAGCAACGCGCAGCACATTTAATAATAACCTATAAAAATATATATACATCCAATTAATTGTTCTTTTTAATTTCAGTTTAACAAAATAATCAAACATCAAGTAATTTAATTTATAAAGATAGCATTTTAACAATAAAAATTTTTTTTGTTTTAACAACATTTTTTTTTATAATAGAACTATCTATTTTAATTTATTTATTAATAAATAAAAATTAGACGGCAATTATTAAAGAAATGGATTTACCAATTGCATTTTATTATAAAATATTTAAATATTTTATTAAGCTAAGGCCCCAATGTTAAAACTCTTTAAATTAATATTTAATAAATAATTTCAAGTAAAATGAGCTTAATAATATAGTATTAATGGTAAATACATTATTTTGGGCATTTAAATGGGATTGGACCCACTTAATTTTTAACCTTTGTGTTTTACGGGAAAGGAAAAATTATTTTTGATTTAATTTTTATCCTTTAACGAAAAAATATTGCCTGAAAGAAAATGCTTATGGCTTAAGGCTTTCAAAATTGGGGAACTAAACCTAAA